CTCTTCAGAGCTATATAAGCTAAGCCATAGCTAACAGTTTGAGCCTCGCTTGTGCATTCAGAGCAGACTTTCACATTGCTCGTCATATGACATAAATCGCAATATTTTATGACATTAGCTCTCTCTTTCTATATCTCTCTCTCGTTCTTTCCGAAATTGATAATCAAATAAAGGCCAAGTTCTTTTGACCACTAAATTGTTGATATTAGAACTAAGCACACAATATTATTAATATTTAATGCGCTTGCCCCGAAATGAACATGAAGAAGACGTAGAACATTTTATGAGACGGCATTTTTATCAGAAGCAAACAATAATATGAAGCAGTCAGGTTGCCAGAGAGGGGAGGGAGGCACGTTGACGAACCTGGTAAAGCGGCTTAAATTGTTTGCCTGTCGCTCGGCTGGTTGCACGAGCTGCAACCCACCCACACACCTGCGCCCCGCAGCCCTTTGTTCCTGTTGTTGGCCTTGCTGTTGCTGTTGTTGTGGTTGATTTAATATTTAGCACGCCGGGACACAGAGCTCTGGGGGGAAGCTGACCATGGGTGCCCGGGCCGTTGGGCTGGGCGTAGGGTAGAGGGGCGCCTGCCTTAGTAAAATTTTAATGCGCTTTTGATGATGGCCATAAAATGGCCAAACAAAATGCATGTGGGCAGCGTCGGCAGCTACGGCAGCTATGGCCAGGGGGCGTGGTCCGTGGCATTGCATGTAGAATCTGTGCGCTAGATAAAATATTAATTTATTTTTTCTTTTCTTGTTTTTTTGTTGTTGTTTTGTTTGCTGTTTTGGGGCACGTCGTATCCTTGCGGCTATTGCAGCGCACAGTTATAGTGGCTCATAAAACTGTACGTACGCCAGAGAGCACTTATTTTTAAATAACTGTTTCGTGTTCGCCGCAGCCCTATCTATCTGCCACGCGCGCCCCGCGCTTCACTCCATCTCGCCTTCAATCGCTTAGAGAACGTGTTATTAATATTTTCATTTTTGCTTTTATTTTGACGCGTTTTATTTGCGTTTTCTCTCTATATATTTTTCTGTGTATTTTATTTCCTTTTTCTCAGTTTTATTTCCACGCCTTTTGCATTACTTATGTTCTGTTTATTAATTTTAGCGCCTGGCTCGTGCTTAAGTTTTTTATGTTTTCTTTTTTATATTCATTTTTTCGCCTGCGCTTGACAGTGGGTCAGTGAAGTTATCGACCCTCCCAAGCAGCCTCCCATTGAGCGTGCTGTATTTGTATATAATATTTGGTTTAGCCCGTTTTATGCAAAATTGAAAATGTTTTTCATTTCTGTTTGGCTTTTGCATTTCGTTTATGTGCGATTGAAAAGAGAATATGTAAAAATGATTTAAGAGCTAAAATTCTCAATTCAAGTGAACACTTTAGCAGGTTTTGCTTTGCCTTTGCCTTTGCTTTTTGAGTTTTACAATTTCCGTTTACATTTTGTTTTCTGTTAAAAACACAATTTAAGTGAATTGTTTAGAATTTTAATTTAAAAATAATTATTAATTATAATTATAAGAATTAAAATAAATAAATAATAGTTAATAAAAAAATAATAATATTAAATAAAATAAAATATTAAATAAATAAAATAAAATAAATATTAAAAAAATAATAATATTAAATAAATAAAAGTATAATAATAATAAATTAAAATCAAAATAATAGCAAATAAAATAATGATTATATTAAATAAAATATAAATATAATAAAAATATTAAATAAAACATAATAACAATAATAAATAAAATAATAATATAATTAGCCTATTAATTAGGCTTTTCAACTTACTTCGATCATCGCTTCACATAGCATTATTCTCACTTAATATTGAATATATTTGCAGCATTTCTTATTTCCCCCATAAAAATTTCTATGTAAGCCGAATGTTGCTAGTAAAGTCATGCTGAAACAGCAGGGCCTTGGGTACTAGTCACTTCTTTCGCTGTTTTATGAGCCACATTTTCATTTACTAGCACACACAGCCTTACATACTGAGCAAGCATATTAAAGTGTGTGTTCTATTACTTAATTATTAATAATGCCTGCTCATCGCTTCGCACACACACACACAGACAGCCACCCACACACAAACACACACACTCTTAACACCAGTCAGCTGCTGTGATGTCCACAGCTTGTTTCATTGAAAGAAAAACAAGTATTTCCTCTTTCGACTTCGACCGCTTGCACCACAGAACTTTTCTAATTAGTTTTTGCGCACAGTGCGCTTTATAGTTATGCATTTTACTTCTTGGCCGAGTTGCCAGCTGCAAGTAGAGCGCCAGCAGTGGCTGGTCCCAAGTTGACTTTATTTTTTTCACAATTTTCCAGCATTTATTGCAATTTACACGAAGTCTAGACCGGCTCTTCGGTTGGACATGTGGGTGGACGGTCGAAATGTGCGCAATTATTGTAAATGTCGCAATCATTGAGCAACTGAGAAAAGTGCAAAAGAAATAAATGAGTCTGCTTAATGAGAGAGACAGCTTATTCAATGAACGAATGAATGAATGAATAAATGAATGAATGAGTGGCGCGTGCTGCTCTCTGATATGCTAAAAGCTGAAAGCAGCTTTCCGCACTGACCGTCTGGAGTTGATAATGCATTGTCCTGGAGGGCAAACGTGTGATTATGTTATCATGGAAGGCAACGTCAGTTTTGTAATTTGAGCGTATTTACCGCACTGGCATTGTTTGCTGGTAATTGGAGAGGATTAAATATGACTCAAGTATAGCCACAGCTGAGTGTGCTGGAGTGAACTAATGTTTGTGTGCCAAGCTACGCCAATTAATGCAAAGCAATTTCCCATTGCCATGGCAAACACTTCAAAAGCAGTTGAATTGCGAGCACTGAACCCGAAGAAGATTTGAAAACCAAGCACTGCTTATACATACAGAGACCGAGAGAACTGTCCATGGAGAGCATAGGCCAAGCAGAATAATTTGTTCCTTTACTCATAAATTAACTTCGTCTTTCTGTTTTCATCAATAACTTGTTTAGGCTATGAGATCTCTTTCTAACTAGCTTGCAGCAAATTAAAATTAATCCCTGCTAAAAAAAACACCCCCGCACGCAGAAACGCCTCCCTCAAGGCTGCCTTTTAATCTTCATTTTGCGCTAAGCCCAGACACAAAGTAAAAAAATAAAAACAAAAATGAAGCAAATTCTTTAGGCCGCCTCTTATAAGCCACTTAATCAAGCCTCCATTCGCAACGCACAGCCATTCTTTGGGCTGTCAATTACTGCGTTGGCTTCCTCCTTGGAGTGGCCCTTTTCTTGTTGATTGGAAAATCTGTGCAAACATTTTCAACAAGAGCGCAAAATTTGTTGTGCCCGACTTATCGATGAATTTCATGAATAACAAAATATATTTAGCCTCAGCACTCTCGACAAGATTTATGTGCCTCGTGAACGACGCGGCCCAAAGACAATAAGCGAATCCACTTCCAGCCCCATTCCCTAGCAGGAAAACTTCAACAAATTGAACATTTAACCCATTACGATGGAACATCCTGGGCGCCTCTTGAATATTTTGCGCTCTTAAATGAGCAAATAGAAACGCAGCGAAATGAGACGAGGACGAGCATTTTGCAGCTTAAATTTAGCATAAATTTCCATGGCAAGAGCCAAGAGCGACTCATTATAATTTGCCATCAATTCAAAAATATATATAGGCAAATATATATATTTAGAGTATTATGTATTTTGTTAAGTCTTAAGACACGTCGCGCTGCCTGGCGGCTGCTTGGAAAACTCATTAACGTAATTTTCGAAAATTTATAAATGTTAATTGGAAAATGTACTTTCGGCTCGGCTCGCCTCGTCTGAAAATTTGTTCGCACTTGGCCCTAGACAATAACTGCTTATTAAATTATGCTAATGAGTTTTACCAGCGCCAACTGTCAGTGAAAATGCCAACAATTTTTCGGGTCTATTCTGGCGGCGGGCACAGGCGCAGACTGGCGAAACTGTAAACCAACCAAACGAAAAATTCCAATTATCGGACCAAAAAGAAAAGCACGCAACAAAGCAGTTAACTACAGATGCCAGAACTTTAAATGTGCTGCTATTATTTTTTTATATATCAAAAAGCAAAAAAAAAACGAGAGTGAAAAACAAACAGACGAAGATTAAATATTCGAGAAAATGAATCATCTTACCGGACTTAACAATCTGAAAAGTTTTCAACAACATTTTCTATTTACATAGCTTAAAAGTAAATGAAAATATGAAAATATTAGCTGCATTATAGATACTCAAGTTTCGTCGTATTTTGAGTGCATGCTCAAGTTTTATATATATATGTTTTGTGATGCTCTTAAAGAATTCATTAGAGCCACACATATTGTATTTTCTTTTCAATAACTAGAAATGATTTCGCTATCAGAAGCAGTCGAAGAGAAGTTTGTATAAATTCCGAATGGCTTTTATTATAGCTGCTACTAAATTCCTTTAAAACCTGTACCTCAATCGTGTCAAAGATTTGTTTTTTTTCTGCTTAACAAATTAACGTTGTCGAACCGATTCGAAATGCCATGTTATTGCCAGCTCGACTGGCAATGGTTTCAACTGAAATGTCAGCCATTCTGTGTGCCTATGTGTGCGTCGATGTATATATCTGTATGTGTGTGCTAGTGACTGCAGCCATTTTTTGTTGCTGTTGCTTTTGTGTCTGCTGCTGCTGCTGGTGCTCGTTTATTAATTAGTCAGAGGACAATGCAGGAGAGTAGGCCGGGGGTCAACAGAGAACTCGTTGCCAGCTTTTTGGCCCGTTTTTGCTTTTATTTCTGCTTTGTTTTATTTTCTGTTTGTGTGTATGAGTGTGTGTGTGTGTGGATATTTGTGGTCGGGTTGTGTTATGGGCGTGCATATGACAGTTGAGGCTGCCAGCGGCAGAGCCTTTCAATTTGATGTTAACTCTCGACTGGCTTCAATCTCAATCTCAATTTTAATTCCGTTTGGTTTTCTTTTTTTTATTTGCCTTTTGCAGGATGTCTTGCATAAAATTTGCAATCCACATGGCCAAGTGCTGCGCATTGTCATCTTCAAAAAGAACGGCGTTCAGGCCATGGTTGAATTTGATAGCCTTGATGCGGCTACACGTGCACGCGAGAATCTCAATGGAGCCGACATCTATGCCGGATGCTGCACTCTCAAAATTGACTTTGCCAAGGTGAGCTCTACTCAATTATCTATTCTCTGTCACCGATTATAATATTTACACATATATATAAATATTTATCTAAATATATTCACCTTTTATAGCCGGAGAAATTGAATGTTTATAAGAACGAGACAGACACTAGCTGGGACTATACCCTGAGCACAGGTGAGATTCAACCAAGTGCGTTCACATTTTTTACTACTATTTCTTATTAGTCGATAAGTGTACCTATGCACCCCACAGAGTATACTATATATATCTCTCTCTCTATCATATGAGTACACTAAACAACATTGCGCATATTCTCATAATACACACTGATTATACACACTCTCTCTCACACCCACGAGGAGAAGAAGAAGACACACATACTTGCTTTTTATTGCCCACATGTGGAGAGAGTTGCGTAAATATATATATACATCATTTTATATATATATATGCATAACTCTGTTTGGCCAATTAGTTGGCTAAATATGTTTTTTTTTTGTAAATTAACTTTTAGGTAAAACGTAAAAGTTTTGTAAACATTTTCAATTGCCAGTGACACACACACAACGTTTTTATTTAAATTCAAATTTATTTAGCGATTAAACTTTGACACTCAAGTGTTAAAATTTATAAATAACATATCAAAATGTCGAGAGCGACAAGGCGTATACGTATATTTAATTTAATTACAATATTCACGATGAATTAAATCTATAAATAGATCAGGCTATACAATTTAATTACATTTAACTTTTTTGTATATATTTATTATCTATTTTACACACGCTGTAAAATATTGAATAAACCTAATTAATTAATTGTAATTTTTATTTTGATTTTTATATATTAATAATTTCTTTTTATTTATTTATTGAACGTTTGGAGCTTTTATTTGTATATTTTCGAGATAAATTATTTAAAAAGATTTTTTATACACATATAAATGTTTTCTGATGGTGAATAAACATATGTAGCTGGCCTAAAGCTGTGCCACCCGGCGTATGCTTAATATTTAACTGAAAGTTTTCGCACTTTGCCCTGCGAGTGCTTGGAAACTGAAACGCCATACGGCATGCGTTACGTCACGTATACGTAATATTTATGTGAAATTTAATTTTATAAAATTTTTCTCGAATCTATTGAGCTGATTTTTTTGGGTTTACCTGTCGTATGCTTAATATTTCAAACAATAAACTATCGCACACAAGTCTGGACCCTTATCATGGTGGTCTTGACGTATACGTAATATGAATGGTTTACCTGGCGTATGCTTGATATGTAAGGATAATATTGTGATGCTGCAGTCCTTTGTGTTTGCCAGAGAATTTTTTCTTGTCTGATTTTCTTTCGGTTTTACATATTCTTAAAGGGAGAAAACTCTGTGATAAGCATACGTGTCGTATGCTTAATATTTGCTGATGTCTTTAACAGCTGCCTGGCTTACTGGCTGGCTGGTTGGCTTAAAGCCTTTCCGACTGCCATTGCGCCTGTCACACAGGTCATGGCATGCATAATGCGCCATCGAGTCACCGTGTCGCAGCTCTAATTGCCGCAAGAGCTCCTAGCGTACAACAACATCAAACATTAATGCTGCTCAAGAGCACGAGCGTCGTCAAAGTTAGCAAAGCAACAACAGGCAACGCCCAACCCCAGCGCGCCCGCCCCAGTCATAATATTGGCCACATCAAATGAAAGCCAGCCACAGCAGCACCTGGCACCTCTTGGCACCTCGTTTCCTTCCGCTCCTCCTCGCCACATGCAACGTGCTGCGGCACATGTCTCGCTTTATGACAGTCGACAAAGTTGCGCGCGTTAAATGCCATTTTTAATTTTTATATTTCACTTTGAATAAAAATGAAATTAAACGCTCGTTGTTGTTGTTGCCGTTTCTGTTGCTAGCCTGCGTCGGTTCGTTGTCTGTTGTCTGTTGTGTGTTGTGTCGCAGACAGCGAGGCGGCAATGTTGTCGTGCAATTTGCCCGAACTTCAAAAGGCCGACAAACTGCAGAAAATCTGCCATTCGCGCGACATGCGGCACTTCCATTCCCCCTTCGTTACACATTTCCTTCTGCCGCAGCAACATTGCAAATGTCAACGGCAACAAGCAGCAGCAGCAGCAGTGGCTGGAATGGCCAAAGCCACAATAACTCAGACGCTGCAGCCCACTGAGTGCCCACTGTCATATTTTGCTACTTTTTGTTGTTGCTGTTGCTGGACAAACTTTTTTTAGGCTGTGGCATGCGCCTTGCATTCAACTGTTTGTTGTTGTTGTTTGTTGTTCCTCTACTTGTTGTTGTTTACACTGCATTTGCATGCCGCGTCAGCAGCAGCAGCAGCAGCAGGTGGAGCTGAAACGAGATGCGAGGAGCGTGCTTGCTTGTGGTGTCTGTTGCATTGCACTTAGTCTCCAGACCAGTGCTTTTGCTGTAGCCGAGTCCAGTTGCCATCAATGAATGCCAAAATGAATGAACTTGGTGGCAGCCGGAGTCGGCTAGGCGGCACTAGTTGCCGCAGCATCTGGTGCCACATTATGTGGGCGTGTAAATTAGGACCGGACACAGACAGCCAGAGATAAAGGCAGAGAAAGAGAGAGAGAGCAAGAGGGAAGCCAACTCTTTGACATGTCGCATAATGAACATGCCACAATGATATGTGGCCAAAGGCGCACGGCGCCACATAACTGTTTTACTTCGCTTCTTCTGCTTTCGGTTAGCTCCGCACTATTCTTCATTGGAAAATTGTTATAGAGTGCTTTATTCCACTGCAATTTATAGCTTTGTTAGTTTGTCTTTGCGAATATTGCATTTATAAAACCAAAACTTTTTAATTACTATTCGAGTTATGAACAACTTTAGCTTCAATTAAAAGTTTATAATAAATTTGTGAGCTTTTACCTCAACAAATATAGCCCTTTGCCAATGCTTAAACATTAATATATAAAATTGAAATCGTTTAAATATTTTATTAAAGTCTTCAAGCTCAGAGCAAGTTTAAGTTAAGAATTTTTGTTAAATTTTGTATACACTTGGATCAGCTCTAACTACTTCTGAGAATTTTCTTTGTTAGTTCAACTTAAATATTCATACTGTGACCGTCATGTCATGTTCATAACTATTTGTTATGAATTTGCAATTAGTTGAGACTAATCTAAATTTATGTAGTCAGAACTTTGCTTTCGTTTTCTTTAATTATGCAGCAAAGTTAAGTCAGGCCGCCGCCTAATCGAATGCAAATCAATAGCAATTTTTGTCCCAAGTAAGCTTTCGCTTGCAGTCGGACCCCCACTGACCTTCGACCTTATATGACAGGCATTATAAACTGGTCTGCGCTGGGTCTGGCCAATCAATAGAATTCATTAAAAATGCTGCCGTCGCTGTTGCTGCTGGTGACAGGGCACGCCCACAACTGACGCACAGCCATAAATTGTGCATGACTAACAATAATAACATCAACAACAACAAAGAAGGTAAATGGAAAAGACAAAACAAAGGCGATAACAAGTTAAATATCAAGTGAAAAATGCAAACAAAACATTTGCATAGGCCAGGCTAGTCGAGATGGAATCGATTTGCAAGACGTAACGAAAGCAGTTATAAAGTTGTTTTTAAGCACCGTTTCCCGTAGTTAACACAAAAACCTAACCTCAAAAACAAACAGCCCCAGTAACTAACCGCACAAAAAATATATATAAACTAACTTTATCAACTCTCTCTAGTATAGCAGTAAAAAAACAAATAGAATTTGTGTAGTATTTGCATTTGCCAAGCGTCAGGGTCGCCTCTGGCTAACCAAGCTGACAGACAGACAGATAGATAGATATATTTTATATATATATATATATATATATATATACTAAGGGTTGACTTTTAGAGGTAGCGCTTTCGCCTGCATATTTACGAGTGGCTTGTGTCTGCCCAGCGAGTCACTAGTCACTTCACGTGCAATTTTATCTATGCGCGCGGTTGGCGTTTTGTTAATTTTCCACTCATTTTCCATGGCATCCTACTTGCGGTTTTTGCTCCGTCTTCCCTGCCGCCCTTTTGACTGCTTCCGTTTCCGTGCTGCAGTCTAGCTTCTTCTTATTCTTGTATTTAGATAGATTCTTATGCTCGTCGCATTTGGGGCATGCTTCGTGCTGTCACGCGATGTGTTCTTACGTTTTGCTTCTTTGTGGGCGAACAGTTCGCTCTTTATTTGACAGCAAATTGTTTTTTCTATTTTCGCTCCCTCCTTTTTTAAGTCGATGAGTTGCTTGAGTTCCGTTTTATTTTTCTTACTACCTTTGTTAGCCAAGGACGTTCGATTTTTAGTTTCGCTTGACAAACCGACAAATACGTGCAGCTAGTTCACGTATACGTAATATCTAGTTACGTATACGTAATGCAGTTGTGGACTGGGCTCCTTTTAAGTGACACTTTTTGGGCACTCGATGGGCTGGGCTTTTGGCTTATTATGGACACATTAAGGCCTGGCAAAGAACTTCCTTCGGCTGACATTCCTTAAATAATACAGTCGAATTGGGTTTTGTGGCTTTCTTTTTAGCTAAAGGCCTAAACTTGTAATAAATTTGTTTGCCCTCCTTGAAGTAGGAGTTGTAATGATTTGTGGCCAAACTTTCAGAGCGCTTAAACTTCTCTTTCCTGGTCGTCGTTCATATCCGTAGCTTAATTATATTTTTGTTTATATGCATATACTTATGATACAGTGCAGCCCCTAACCTCGGCTCGCTGCCCCCCATTGTCATGCGATCAATCACTTTAATACAAATATGGCCAAAGTAAACATTTCGTCCGGAAAACTCATAACAGCTGACACATGCGCCATTTTCTGCTGCTATTATCGTATCAGCTAACAAAAGCAAGCCAAATGCCATCCCCCAAAAACTATGCTATAATTAACCACAAAACTGGTAGCGGCGACCTCGGCGCCCTTTGCCTTCGGTGTTTTGTACAAAACCACAACACAGAGAAAAACCTGCATTGTAATGGATGTCATTATTTATTTATGAATGCATGACAATAACAATAACAATGTGGCGTAATAAAGCACGCTGGCTACGTTTGCGAATAGATCAACTAAAGATACCCTAGAAAATGATATAAAAATATATATATGTGACAATTGCTAGGGAGCAGCTTTAGCGCGTTCTTTGATCTTGCAATTTTCCTTTTTATAATACTTAATACTTAA